CAATCCGAATGCCCTATGTTCCCAGTAAGAAGGGGATTTTTAGGCTGATATTGGCCGTTTCGAGGCTTCCGATGACCATTCTAGGATTATTTAACCTTTCCGAATTCCCACTTTCCGAATGAGAAATCCGAATTTCTGACTTTCCGAATGCAAATAATTATTCATCTATTCGGAATCATTACCTTGGACTACGGTACCCGCAGAAATGAAACTGTGCGTCCAGACCCCAGTGACCAGTCTTGATTCTTGAGTCTTGAGTCTTGACTCGTCACAAAGTCACATGCAACCGGTAGATTTGCAGAGCAGGCTGTAACGGCAGGCTGGTTTGGTCGCCGAGTCTAGCTAGGTGGTTACGCCTGACCCGACCTTCTGAAGGGCAGAACGATGGTACATAATACTTGAACGAGTGCCTACCTAGGTACCTCACCTTGCACTCGATCCAGCCGTTCATCTTGACAAAACAGGCCATCCAAGGGCTTGTAGTGACACGGACTTCTGTGAAGTGCAGGCTAGCTAGGTTTGCCAGTGTGCATCATGCTTTCGATGAAGGGCGGCGTACGTCGTGACGTCAGAAGGGCTTCCTCCATGATGGACCTTCTCCACTCGTGAAAAGCAGCAGCACTGGCAACGCAGAAAAGAGATGGCTGCCCTGCGCTTCTTCCAGCCTTGCGGCCTGTATTGTACGCTATCCGTGGAGAAGGGCAAGCTTGCATAATACTGTACGTGGAAGGTATTATTCCAGCTGACAGAGGAAGCGTGTGGTTCCGAATACCAATGACCATGTTGCGCTCCAACTTTGTGAGGTTCAAGTTGTTGGGAATCTCCCTTCATCATGAGCTGCATTAGGTGAAACAGCGCTGGTCCAGACGGGTGGCTGGAGGAGAGCAGAGCTTGGGCAGCCACAGGTTGTGTGAGGGCGGAGGGAGAGGGGCGGGTGCTGGCCTGTCACACAGGGGGCCTTACCTCCTCTCAGTCCACAGGGTACGCCCTCCAGGCACACCCTGCTCCCCCTGCGGTGTCCCCAGTCAAAGCAAGGCGGCACTTTGGTGACTGCTGCACGCGCGTGCCAGGGTGAGCTCCTGCGCTGTGCGCCCCCTTGCCTGGCCTTGAGTGACCCTAGGGAGATGGCTCGCCCGTCCTTTTGCCAGGCTGGGCCAACGTGCTAATTTCAGGACATGCCACAGCTCATTGCGAGCACAGATTCACCTTGTTTACGTTCTGTGTTACCCTGGGCAGTTATTGCTGTTCTGCAATCTGACCTTGCTGGATCCCCGTCTGCTCTGGCTGTCTCCCCTCTCGCTGGACCCCTGCTGTGCTCAGTCAGTGGCTCGGACTGGCCCTGGCTCAAATCCATCAGTGCTGCTCCTAGGGGTGGCCATCTCTCTAGATGTTCAGACCGCTGTGCTTGGGTGCCACAAGCTCAGCACAGGGGGGTCTCTGTTGAGTCAGAATGCAGCAGTGTGTTACGGGCGGTAGGGCTGTGGTGCTGCTCTCCTGAGCCAACACTTTGTGGGCATGGCATTGGTTGATCAGGGGAGTGGCCACGCTCAAGCAGGGGGCCCAGGCGCGACGTCTGTCTCCCAGGGCCCTGCGTGCTTGCCAGGGGGCAGCCGGCTGGTGCCTGCCAGCAGCAGCGTGGGGCCTGGCAGGGCTCCTCGATGCAAGGCACCAGCCGCGCCAGGGAACTGCTGCACTGCTCCTCCCCTCTGCCGTCCGGCCTGTGCCTGGCCTGGCTGCTGAGACAAGACCCCTCCTCACCCCTCCCCCCCCCCTNTGAATGCCTGGTGTGTGTTTGCGCAGCTGCTGCTGCAATGGCGCGCCCCGCGTCTGCCAGCACTCCGGGGGCCAGCAAGCGCAAGCGCGAGTTTGGCGACGCTGGCAAGGGCAAGAAGAGCCACAAAGGGAAGGGCAAGCGCAGCGCGGAGGAGGCGCGCGGCGGCCCCTCGGCTGCCGAGATGCGCAAGATGGACTCCCCCGCGGTGCAGCGCGCCAAGCGCGAGATCAAGATCCGCCGCCTCACAACAGACCAGGTGGGGCACCAGCTGCGGGCCGCCGCGCACGCTGGCCCGCCCGAGGAGTGGCTTGCAATGGCGGGGGGAGGAGCTGCCCTTGCCTTGCTGTAAGGGGTGGCCGCTGCACACTGCGCGTGCCCCTTGTGTGACTGCCCTTGTGTGGTGCCCTGGCATGGCCCGCTCACTCAGTGGGTGGCGCCTTGTGCAGATTCATGCCCTGGAGAAGGCGTTTGACGAAGCAGACGGCAAGCTGAGCCACCCGCAAAAGGTGAGCCGTCCTTGCCCCCGCCTGCGCATTCCCGCAGGCTGCGGCCCAGGGCGGAGCTGCCCCTCCCCTGCTGACCCGCGCCTCCAGAGGTGCCACACGCTGTCATGCTTGTGCAAGGCCGTGGTTGTAACTCGGGGGCTGCCTTGGCGCTGGCTGCAGGTGGAGATCGCCAAGGGCATTGGCCTGGAGGCGCGGCAGGTGGCCATCTGGTTCCAGAACCGGCGCGCCAAGTGGCGCACGGAGCAGGTGGAGAGCCAGTACGACGTGCTCAAGGCGCAGAACGCGCGCCTGCAGGCCGACAACGACCGCCTCAAGAAGGAGGTGAGCCCCCCAGCGCAGCACACCCCGCGAGGAGCCGCCAGCCCTGGTGCCGAATGAATCAGCGCATTACCTCACCTCCCTGTGTCGATGCGGGATGGCGCACAGGTGGCGGGCAATTCCGCCCTTTGCCCAGCGGGCCCCACTAGGGCCCGCAGCCCCAGAAGTGCAGAGCCCGCGGCCCTCAGCTGCCGTAAGGGCCGCACAGCGTGTGCCGCAAAGCTCCTTCTGGGCGCAACCTCCGACAGCGCTCACTGCACGCGAATGCATTTGCGACTGTTTGCTTTGCTTGCTGCCAGCCGCAGGTTGGCGTGCATTTGGGATGGCAGGGCGCAGGTTGGGCCTCAGGAGGCAGCAGGGCGCGACGTTCCCTTTGGCTGTGCGCTGCGTGCTGACCGTCCTCCCCCTCCTTTGGTCCCTGCAGCTGGAGGAGGCACGGCACGCCCTGGTTGTAGCGCGCTCCGGCATTGCGCACCCCACCCCCAGCCGCATGGAGCCAGTGGCAGGTGCGGGTGGCGCGGCCTTCTTTGGCTCCAAGGATGGGGAGAGCCCCGGCTCCGTTTATGAGAAGGTGCGCCCCCTCCCCCCCGCCCAGCCCTCCCTTCCCCTGGCTGCCCGTGCAGGCTCCGCCGGTGCTGTGGCGGTCCCCCGCCCGGTGTGGCGCGTGCGCGCGGCCGGTGCTGACTGGCGTGCGTGGCGTGTGTGTGCAGCTGCAGAACCTGCTCAAGAGCATGAAGGGCAAGCGCAGCGCGTTCCTGGCTGCGGCGGCCGCAGGCGAGTCTAGCGACAGCGGGTCCGGCTCCAGCGACGAGAGCTCCGAGGAGGAGCGCCAGCCCATCAAGCGGGCCAAGCGCAGCGCCCTGCAGAAGCCCCGACCCGCGCTGGCCGCCAAGCCCGGCCCCACCCCCTCCCGGAGCAGCGTCGCGGCGGGTAGCGGGGCAAAGAGAGACGGCACCCGCAGGAGCCCCGTGGGCGCGCCCAGCAAGGGCAGCGGTGCCGACAAGGGCGCAGGGCCGAGCAAGGCGGTGCCCAAGGGGCGGCTGACGCGCGAGAGCAGCATGGGGCGGCCCAGCACGCTGCAGCGGCGCGGGTCTAAGCTGGAGGCGCTGCAGCTGCCCGTCAAGATGAGCCCCGCGGTGCCGCTCTTTGCGGACAAGGACCGTGCCAAGGCCGCGGTGGAGGCGCCCACGCCGCGCATGGGCCGCGGCAAGCCCAGCGCCGCCACGCCCGGCAGCACGCCCTCCATGTGGCTCGGCCCGCGCCAGGACCCCTCCCCCACCACGGGGCCCCTCGCGCCAGGCGAGCCGCAGCCCGCGCACCCGCTGGGCATCAGCGGGGACGGCACGGTGGCGCTGCTGGACAAGGTGCCGCCCAGCGCGGTGGGGCGCGGCTTCTCGCACCTGCTGGCCGGCGCGCCCGAGAGCAGCCCCACCGACTCCACTGTCAGCCCCTCTGCGTACCTGCTCTCGGACGGCAAGGAGCCCAGCCCCACCACGGGGGCGCTCGCCGGGGCCGACGCTGTCCCCGCCAAGCAGAGCACGCCCCCCAAGCCGAGCCCGCTGCGCGAGGAGTCCGGCAAGGAGGCACGCCTGCAGCTGGCGCCGTCTGCCAGCGACTGGGGGGAGGCCCTGCGCAAGGCGGAGCAGCAGCGCAGCGCCGCCGCGGCCGCCGCCGCCCCCGCCCCTGCGCGGCTGGACAGCCCGGACCTGCCGACGGACATGGCGCGCGACTTTGTGCGGGCGCTGGGCGCGGGCGAGGCGGCGCGCAGCCCGTCCCCGAGCGTGCTGCCCTCGGTGCGCGAGTTTCCCAACAGCGCCGCCCAGGACTTTCTGGCCAAGTACCGCGCCATGTACGGGGAGATCCACCGCAGCAGCGAGCGCACCTCCGAGGGCGCGAGCAAGGCAGCCGACATCCTCGCGTTTGTGAACGGCACCGATGTCGACGACGAGGAACGCAGGGGCGGGCCGCAGCAGCAGCAGGCGGCAGACGCGTGGCGCGGGGCGGGCGACGAGGGGGGGACACCGCGGGGCTGGCGGCGCGGCTGGCGGCGCTGGACGGCGGCCTCTCCAAGGGCCTGGACGCGCTGGCCGTGCTGCACCTGGGGGCGGCGCCAGGCGCGGGCGACAACAAGGGCGCAGCGGAGCGCAACGGGCTGCTGGAGCTGTCGCTGGAGCCGGGCAGCGGGCTGGCGCCCTCGCGCACCGCGCAGCTGCTCGCCGAGGCCGCGGCGCGGGTCAGCGCCGGCAGCAGCCTGCCCAGCCGGCTGGCGCGCGGGACGGCGTTCCTGGGGAGTGCGTCCGCGTTTGAAGCGTTCCGTGGAGGGGGAAACTTGCTGGACCCGTGAGGCTCTTTTACTGCTGGCCAGGCAGGCTGTCCCTGAGGCATCCAGCGATGTCGTTTGTGGGAAGGCGGGCATCCGGTTCCAATAGTCGACTCAGCTTGATCAGTGTAGAGCAAGCGTGCCTCTCTTAGTTGTTCAGCAAGGACTTGCACGCTGAACACTGTTGGCGGTTGGCTTGTTGGAGCACGTCCGTTCGAAGTTCATATCATATCCTTTGCTCGATTCGAGTACAAGTATCATAATAGCACTATCCAGGCTTAGACCCGTTCGAACAACTCTTTGGTCGGGTTGCGCACGCAGGTATCAGGACCCGCCCTTCTCCAGCGGGCTTCGCGAGGAGCGCGCCCTCTCCCCTTCGCTGCGCGACGCCATCAGCCAGCACCGGAGCGGGCACACCACGCAGGCCTTGCTCCCAGGGGAAGGCCGCGAGGAGGCGGGCGCGCCGGGGAGCAGTACGGGGCCGCTCACGCCGCGGCTGGGCCCGGCGGCTCCCATCCCGCCGTGGCTGACGGCGGTCGCCAGTGGGCTGTGGGGGGAGGGGGGCTCTCCGGGCGGGCGCAGCTCAAGCCCGGGATGGTGGACGCAGATTCAGTCAGGGCATTGACGGCTTGCATCAAGTGTGTGACTTGTTGCCAGGACGACAGAAGCAGACTTTCGACGAAGTAGGATTATTCGGCTTAACGAACTCGGGCGCTCAAGAATGACCTCGAAGCTTGACACCTTCATCAGTGATTTTTTTGTGGTTTTAGGGGCGGGTTTGTATGCATATATGGTGCGTATATTAGTCTCACGTCTTGAAGGGGATGGTGACTCGCAGTTTTCAGATGACCCAGCTTTTGCTAGACATATATTGGACCACTTGGATTCTGGCCGGTATAAAGGCCCTGCATGTGAACCGGTACTGGTCAAACATTGTTGGTAGTGAGATACTGACGATTGTTGCTCGTCCTTCATTCAAATGGTCTGGTTTTGTTCACTATGTTGGAATGCATCCTATAAAGATTCTCCCTATGTTACGTAAGGTAGGGTCACAAATGAACATGTAAAAGTGCATTGCACCACTTAGGATTTAAAAGAGCATATATCATAGTTGGTAAGCAAACAAGTCATGAACGGAATGACTTGCATTAACGCAGCTATTACGACAAGCACCGACAGGGTTGCCGCTCGATTCGTGTCAAAAATGTTGTTCGACGATTGGGCCAATTGGACGCATTTGAACGCGTATGGAGAGAGCATATCCCAAGATTTTGGTTGTGCGGATATCAACATATTCGGAAATCTCGCACTGAAGCCGACTTGGAAACCATGCCTAGCGTTGTACGCGCATGGTGATCTTGCACCGGCTGCTCAAGGAGCCTAAGCCGCTGGCCGTCACCGCCTTCCTATGCAGCAATCCGACCAGGAGAGCTTCAAGAAGAGGCGGTCTAGCGTCCGATCAGCTTTTGATATGACCGATGATGAATGCCAAGTCTTGAAAGCTCCAACAATATAGTAAGATTGCCACGCGCATCTAGAGTGCTCCACAACTTCAAGCAATGTGACCGCAAGCATCACATGCCCAGCGGAGGCTACTTCCTCTGGTGCGCACCGTCACCTGCTCTGCCGAAAGTTGGCACGCTCCAATGACGCCGCTGGGCTGCATGACGACTCCGATCCCATACCACACTAGCGGGCAAGACTCGGCCACAAGTCACCTCAGTGTCCAGCGAGGCCGCGCGCTCACAGAAGCATCTTTTACCGCGATAAGGGCCACTCCATCGTCAAATTCCGCACTAGATATTTGCGCTGAACCGCTACATTTGCGGGAAGCCAGAATACTTTGCTGCGGGATGCCCAGATAAGGTAGCGCAGCTATTGAACCGTCCGGTGATTCCAGACGTGGTGCTCAGCGTACAAGGTGCGCAACCCGGAACAATGTTGATTGCCGCAGCTACTAACCGGCTGCACAGTGCACATAGGGCGCCACCGTAGGCCGCCCCTAAACCACCTGTTGCAACACGAGCCGCCCATGTCATGTACTACAAAGGTGCACATGATCCGATGACTGAGGTCGCAAGCCCGCCGCACATCGGCTGTTGGCGTGTGCCTACCTACAAACAGCTGTTGAGCTTGTGGGACTCAGACGTGCGCGGGACGTGCAAAATTCCTGGCCGGCAAAGCCGTGGCCTCTGTTTCCTCCCCGTCACTCGCAACCGAAATGCGGCCACAACCTTGCCAAGGCGCTATCGGCGCCTAGTCCAGGGACGCACCTTCGATTACCAAGGGTCTCCGTAAGCGCGCGCCACATGATGAGCACGTTTGCGATCGGCAGATTGACATGCCATTGAGCTAAATGCCCCGCAGATTACTTACACTGCTTGTGACTCCCCGGGTCATGATGACGACCAGGCTTCTGAGACGATGACAGAAATCAAGGCGCCTCAGCCCGTTCCGGCCTTGAAAGGAGGAGTTGCCCAGTGCATCCTCTATAGAGCTTCCTCGCTCTGGTTTGGAGTAGCCGGGCGAAGAGTTCTTTGGCACGAACAGAGTCTAGGCTCGCCGCCATGCAGAGCAGCACGGCTATTCAGCTTCTATAGCCTACCCCTGTGCAGATTGTTGAGACTTGTGGTGAGGGACTCGTAGTGTAGTTGTTTGCTTGTCATCGGGTCTTGTCGTATTACTCGGAACCTATGCTCATCGCTCATTGATGGCAGCCATACATTCTAGGAGGAACACTCGAAGCGCCTCACAAGCTGCATTCTCCTCTCCACAAACTTGTCTTAGAATGATGTATCACATTAGTCTTTCTCTGCGCTATTGTTTTACGGGTCCTCCCATTCCACTAGGCTCCGAGTCTAGCTCATCTTGAAAGGCTACTAGACTCACTAGCCCAAGTCACACTCTATATCTCTACTAGGCTCACTACTAGTACACATAATCACACTCAATTTTACTAATTCGATATCCTCATATATGGCGTAGATTGATGGTCCTCTCAATCGCTTAAGACCCTCCAAACCGCCTGACGGTGTAGTAATTCCGGCCTTACCGCCCGTGCACGCACTACTAAAGCGCACAGTATTACATTAAAACCATAATTTTGTCCAACCCCAATTACACAACAATTCGGCTGACCATGTACACTGCGCCAGAGATTAACACCTTGGGGCGCTCAGACCCGCCCGGCTCTTCTAATCAATGGAAACCGGTTTTTTACTGTCACTTTTGGACCTGGGGAACGCAGCTGTGATTTACCGCCCTAATACGGGGCTACGGCTTCACGGCTCCCCTACGGCTACGGGGATCCCCTCGCATGATTACCGGGATGTGGCGTTGTACACTTCATCAATGTTGCGGACGGGCAAATCACTAAGAAGGTGGATCAAGTTAGTGAGCCCCGGAGCTTTGTGTTCAATGGAGGATCATCAGATGAGCTTACGGTTCACTTCTATCTGTTGATTGTTCTGCACGAGCTCCCCAAGACCCTTCTTGGCCTTAGCGTTATGGGCCCTGCTGGAATGGTGTCTATAAACAGCACGTGTCACTTACTACGGCAGAAATGCACAGGGCCCCACAAGCACGTGCATTATGGCCAGCCGATTCCCTTTCGAGTATTGGCCCAGTGGGGGCCCCTCTCAATGGAGCTGGACAGGGAAAAGTTCGGGCCTTCCTAGGCTTCGTTACTTCTGCCGAGCCTTCAGTCCAATGCTTACGCCGTTGCGTTCTACCCCTAGGTGCGTTAGTCTTGCGCCGGCTTGGGCAAGATGATCCGGTAAACAAGTCAGAGTCCTGCGCGTAGGTGCCTTATTAGTTGCGTATTAACGCCGTCTCTAACTTGGACCTCTAGGGCAGCACCTTCAAGGTTGTGGCCAACTTCAAACATGGCTGGAAGCTTCTTATCTCCATGCTCGCCTATGTCTATTTGAAGCCCTTCCGATTAGGAGTACGTGGATATTGAAGCATCAAGAGCTGAGCCCAAACAACTCAGAGGGGCCGGACGGTGCTCGATAATAGGTTTGAAAATCACGGCTACTACGAAAGCCCATTAGCGCAACGACATCGAAATTCGTCAGATGGACGCATGCGAGGTGGACCCAAATGTAACGGTACGGAAGCCGACCGCCTTAGCCGCTCGGCTATGCATCCAAAAAGCTGTCGACTGGATGCACACTAAGGCGCTTCCGTAATTTATATATCGATTTCGCGTCGGCCGTCCGCGCGTCGCGGCCGGGTTATCGCGTCGATTTTCGTTCCGCTTCGGACCGTATACGGGTTCACGC